GAGATGTAGTTGTGGACGTCAATGTCATACATCTGGGGGTGGGTAGGACGTCATTGTTGTAGATGTAGTTGTGGACGTCAATGTCATACATCTAGGGGTGGGTAGGACGTCAATGTCAGAGATGTAGTTGTGGACGTCAATGTCATACATCTGGGGGTGGGTAGGACGTCAATGTCATACATCTGGGGGTGGGTAGGACGTCAATGTCAGAGATGTAGTTGTGGACGTCAATGTCATACATCTAGGGGTGGGTAGGACGTCAATGTCAGAGATGTAGTTGTGGACGTCAATGTCATACATCTAGGGGTGGGTAGGACGTCAATGTTGTAGATGTAGTTGTGGACGTCAATGTCATACATCTAGGGGTGGGTAGGACGTCAATGTCAGAGATGTAGTTGTGGACGTCAATGTCATACATCTGGGGGTGGGTAGGACGTCAATGTCAGAGATGTAGTTGTGGACGTCAATGTCATACATCTAGGGGTGGGTAGGACGTCAATGTCAGAGATGTAGTTGTTGACGTCAATGTCATACATCCGGGGGTGGGTAGGACGTCAATGTTGTAGATGTAGTTGTGGACGTCAATGTCATACATCTGGGGGTGGGTAGGACGTCAATGTCATACATCTGGGGGTGGGTAGGACGTCAATGTCATACATCTGGGGGTGGGTAGGACGTCAATGTCATACATCTGGGGGTGGGTAAGACGTCAATGTCATACATCTGGGGGTGGGTAAGACGTAACTTGTGTACTTACACAGAGTATCTAAATCAGACGTCAAGAAGCTTGCTTTAACTCTGGGTTGGGGCTATCAATCAGACGTCAAGAAGCTTGCTACAACTCTGGGTTGGGGCTATGTGCAGTGGCGTCGTTAGGGCGGGTGTCACCCGGTGCGGCACCTCGTGTTTGTGTATGTATGTGTGTATCGGCCTACACATGCGCGTACATGTATGTGTATAAGTTTTGATTACTGCAGACTTAATAGTAACGATGTTTATCTATAGTATGTTAATAATACAGCCGGATTGTTTGGTACTTAAAAGACTATTTAACTTTAATTAATTATTAATTGAACTGGGCACTTCCGTAAATTTTGCAATTTTCTGCCTTGGTGTCACCCCCCCCCCCCCCTAAACGGTGTCACCCGGTGCGGTCAGCACCCCCGCCCCGCCCTCGCTACGCCTCTGGATATGTGCCTATACATGCGAGGAAGGGGTGGGAACTTCGAACTGTTCTAGGCTTTCTTGTGTTGTATATCTCTTTAAAATAATATTCATAAACAAAACGTACAAAAATGAACTCTTATTTTTGTGTGTTTTTATTTAAACAGGAACGGCGTGGCCTAGCGGTAGAGAGATAGACTGTTAGCCTGAGAGTCTTGCGTTCGAATCCGGGTTCAAATCAGTGGCTTAAGGCGGCTGGGCATAGTGCCGAGGTCTATGAATCAGATGAACTCCTTACAATACAGTTGGATATAGCATTGTTTTCTTTATACTAAGCACGTATACGTCATGGTGTCACTCCCCCCCCCCCCCTTGTAATAATTGTCGATTTGTTTCTTAAAAGACTATTTAACTTTAATTAATCACTAATGGATCTGGCAAAAAGGCATTTCATTCTATACATTTTGCAATTTTTTGCCTTTGTGTCATCCCCCCCCCCCCTAAATGGTGCGGTCCGCACCCCCCCCCCCCCTCCGTCGCTACGCCTCTGTTAGAGCGTATTGGAAATCACTTTAATAATACTTTAATCAGAGGTAGGCCTATACTTGTGGTTAAAAATCACCATTTCGAAACTGGCTTTCTTCTTATTAAAAACTTCTATCTGTTTCTGTGACCACGGCCTATGGAGGGATGTGTGGTCCCATGTCTAGCCGCCTTTACTTCCCATAACGTCGTTCCGGTTTCCATTAGAGCTGAGTAGACTCAGCAGAGGCGTAGCGAAACTTCCCAGCGCCCGGGGATAAACTTTTCGATTTGCACACCCCCCCTCAAACTTTCGATTTGCACCCCCCCCCTCAAGATTTCGATTTGCACCCCCCCCCTCAACCTTTCAATTTATTTTTCCAACCCATTTTGGCGCCCCCTAAGGTCGGCGTCCGGGGACATATATCCCCCCCCCCTTCGCTACGCTACTGGGACTCAGGGTCACCCTATGGACTAGAGCTCGAGATCTTTACTCGATAATTCCGGGTCGTGTTCTCTAGCATCTGACCACGCCGTCCCATGTTGCTAAAGGTCAACAAATGTGCAATGGTTACATAAGAACAAGGTTACGTTGAGTGCACCTAGATTCCAGTCAACCACACAGGGTCAGGCGGAGCGTGGAAAAAACCAGTTGAAACCAGACGGGCAGCATAATAAAATGCTTGACACTGACATTGAAAATTGATAGAAATGTACAGCATTTACTGAATTCATGCATGATTTCTTGTACACAATACCGATTTTTCTTTTTAAAGTTGAATCAAATTAGGGGAGAGAAATCTTACTGTGCATCAATGCAGGTTTTCATGTCTATACATTACTCAGTATACAAGGAAGGGAAAGGGAGGCTATTAAGACTTACCTCCCTGCGGAGATATTTTTTTTAAATCTGTTGCTTACATAGCTAAAAAAAAAGAATCCTTTGGTGCTTTCAGAGTTGCACAGAAATAAAAGATATCCCCTCTCTCTCTCTCTCTCTCTCTCTCTTTCTCTCTCTCGTTCTCTCTATCTCTCTTTTTATTCAACAAACATCAAACAAAATCATGAAAAATAAGCTTACAAACTAAATCTGGCATTTCTGTATTCTCTAAACAGCTAAATACAGATACATAAAAACCTATAAATTGTCCCTACTGATCATATATATATATATATATATATATATATATATATATATATATATATACATATATATATATATACATATATATACATATACACATATATATATATACATATACATATACATATACATATACATATATATACATATACATATACATATACATATATATACATATATATACATATACATACATATAGATACATATACATATATATATATATACATATATATATACATATACATATATATACATATATATATTTACAAATATATACATATATATATACATATATATACATATATATACATATATATACATATATATACATATATATACATATATATACATACATATATACAAATATATACATATATATATACATATACATATATATACATATATATACATATACATATTACAAAAAGACAAAAATTGAATTAATGGCAATTGGTTATTCCTATACATCCACATAGACTTTCAGCTTAATGTTTTTCTCTTTATATTTACATACATTTTTGTCTTATAATTATAAATTGATATCACTATAGCACTTTAAATCTACATAATGTATTTGGAACATGCATTTGTATTTATCTCGAACATTAGAAAAATAAATTTGACGTCAAGTCAACAATATATCTGGTTTTTGTTCACATACAGGGTGTTTCAGAGCATTAGTTACAAGGCCCTTGATGGTGGAGATATGTCTCCTCGTTACATTAACTGTCGTGATTAAAAATAACTCTGTCAGTTTAAATTCCTGAGGCTAATTACAATACAGTTAACTCTAATCGCAGTATGAATATGTGTCTGAATATCTAAATAATCTACGCGTCTGGATGATCTGAGAGTCAAGCTGATACACTTGGATTATCTAAATGCCTTGCTAATCCATCTACATTAAACAAGTGCCTGGTCGCACAGCTAAGTTAACTAAATTATATGTGGGCCTGGTTGCCAAAAAATCCATCAACTAAATTATATATACGCATAAAAATCCAACTAGGTTAAATAGGTGCCCTGGTTGCGCAAGTAATTTCACTGGATATAATGTGCCTGGCTTCCCCAGCTAATCCACATGGATTATCTGTGCCTAGCTTATGTTATTATAGGGGTACCTATAAAAATTTAAATGTATTCAAGCACTTAAAATAGTTTTCTAACAATAGCCAACAGAACAGGTTTGGGGGATGTGGTATATGACAGTGTGTACAGTAAGCTAGTACAGAAGAGGTACACAAACAATGCATATTACATGCATTTTTTAATTAGGTAAATGTTAAGGATTATCTCATCAGGTGGCTTAATGAAACATGCTTCAAAATATTCAAGACTTGACACAACTTACACACAGCTTGTACTTGTACACACCTCATACAAAATGTACACACTTTACACACACTGAAGACACCTTTAACACACCTTACATGTAACTTAGACACACTATGCACACCTTACATGTACACTCATCTCATACAGACACACATTAGGCACTATTTAGACACCTTACACACCTTAGAAACTTATTATACACACCTTAGAAACACCTTAAAAACACCTTACACACACCTTAAAAACACCTTACACACACCTTAAAAACACCTTACATGTAACTTAGACACACCATAAACACCTTAAACACACTTTAGACACCTTACACACACCTTAGAAACTCCTTATACACACCTTATACACACCTTACACACACCTTAGAAACTCCTTATACACCTTAGAAACACCTTAAAAACATCTTAAAAACACCTTACATGTTACTTAGACACACCATACACACCTTAGCACAATTTAAACACCTTACAAACACCTTAGAAACTCCTTACACACACCTTAGGCACAATTTAGACACCTTACACACACTTTAGAAACACCTTACACACACCTTAGCACAATTTGAACACCTTACAAACACCTTAAAAACTACTTACACAAAACTTAGACACACCTTACACACACAATTTAGACACCTTACACACCCCTCACACACAATTTAGACACCTTACACACACCTCACACACAATTTAGACACCTTACACACAACTCACACACACCTTTATACACTTTGCATACAAACCACCTGTCAAAAGCTGCTTTAACATTAAACAAGAACAACACAGTTCAAGAACTCCTCAACACATACTCTGTGTTATAACAGTAGTTTACTGTTCTTTACATAAACATAAAAAAACACTGTTTTTTTATTATTTACCTATAATTATTCAAATGTATGTAATCATATTTAATCCTGATGGCTGAATAAGAAGTTTTAATGTTAAAGATAGTATGAAACAGGTTTCATTTTCAAAGGGAAGTTTGATTATCTTAAGAGATTATAAAAATTTATTTTTGTATTATTTTTTAAACACTTATGTACACATATGTAGCTAAAAGGTTAAGTCTCTTCTCTTAGCCAAACTAAGACATTCAAAGGAATAATCAATACAGTAGCGTAAAAACTCTTTCAAGTACAATAAGAGCAGAAAACATGATAAATGGGGCCCCTGATTAAACAGCCAATCAAAATTAAAATATTTAAAAATTGAAATAGCCAAAATATGACAAGGAAACAAGTGGGGACGTTCATATCAAAACAGAAATGTAGCCTTAAAATGTTTTTACAAAATTTAATTATATTATATAAATCTTGAGAATATTAAATTTCTCAAATGTTATAAATTTAATATTAATATTTTTATAAATTAGGCAACTAAGAAGATGAAATGTAAAAAAAAATAAAAATTGTGTACCCATGTCAACAATACAAATTGAGACCCTCTTACACAGTCCATCAGGCAGGTACTATTATATTAGATGAAACTGGAACAGTTAGTGACATGAAATAGAAAATGTACTGTGCTTTAGTTTACATGCAGTTACTGGCCAAACATCAATTGTAAAGAAATGGACCATAAAATCTTGTACCTACATTTCTTGTGCTGTGTCCAAGGTTATGCAGTAATGGAATGTGTTGAATCCAGTGAGGTTAAGTTTTCCTCTTGAAGGAATGGACATAAGTACTTGTATTGTTGTAAGGTTCATTTATTCAAGCATGAGAAAATATTTACAGTTTCTGTACATTATTCACAGAAAATTAAATCTTTTGTTCTGCGAAAACTCCAAGTGTTAAACATTTTAGACGGTTGATAAGAGGATGACACACTTAATACTGGCAGCTGACTAAAGTAAATGCTCTCAAATATATTGTCATAGTTCTAATGACTAAACTGCAAGTTAAAAAAAAATACTACACAAGACAAAAAGCTAGTTTACTAACAAATAATGGCATTAAATATTTTATTGTTTTAAACAAAGAAACAATCAATATTTTTTTTTTACAACAGCATTATTAAATTCCTATTAATTAAAGCGACTGAAAATGTTACTAAAAACATCAACCATTCACATTCCTTGAGTATTCAATCGTATCATTAAATTTACTATACAAAAAAATAAAATTTAAAAGTGTGCATAAAAATAAGAAACCATTAAACCAGCAATACAAAGAATGACCAAGATGAATTTATTATAGAAAGAAAGCCATTTATCAGTGTAAGGACTTAAAATCAAATTCAACAAAATCTAACTAAAATTTAGATAGCTAAAATCCTAAAATCAGCTTGATCATCCTTATAAAAGTAAATTCAATTATTAAACCAAAATTTAGAGAGATCAAACCAATGTTAGCTTTGTCCTCAGCTAGGAATAACAATGTTCTGATCATACATCTTTAATAATCAACCTTCAAAATTAAATATGTAAACAGATTTTTTTTAAATTTGAAAATGATTCATCTTTTTCATAAAAAAATTTTTTGTTTGTTCATCTTACTGAGATATGATTTAGCTGCTAAATGCAACTAAACAATATTAATATAAGGAAAAATGTATATTTTGTTCTTTCAAATTGTATAACGCATAATTTAAAACACGTTGTTCTGTTCCATTTTACTTCAAGGTTATTTAAACAGAATGTTTTTAATTAAAAAATTTAAACCTGAAAATAGGAATAATAACAGGTTATTTTTATAAATTAGTGATAAAATTTACAAATATAAAATAACAGGACTTAGCGATGATACATGAAAACAAATGAAAATTTTTTAAATGCTTGAGACCAGTTATTGATGGTTATGTCCTTCTGCAACATTCTAGAAACACTGGCACTATGACTTTAATACAGAAAACTTGCGACATGCGGGAAAGTCATCCCCCTTTGTTGGTGCCACAACAATCAAGCTAATGATCGTTTGCCCTAATGTTAAATTAATCACACACACGATCAGACACACATTTGTTCATAGAAATGTAAACAACACACACTCCTAGAGTTGATTAAAATTGTCCACCAATAGACAAGACTTCAAAGCAGACATCACACACACGAACTGGCTTGCTTAGGTTGAACTTGACTATAGGCATATCTTTACTTGAGCACTTTGCACATAGAAGGCGTCCACAGTGACGACTGGAGGAAGAAAAAAATTGTTTTTAAAATAATCTCAGTAGTCTGACTTTAAATATGTAGGTGTCTTGGGCTGTTTGGGATAGTCTAGTAAAAAAATTGTTGAAAAAAATGGTGTTGAATTAAGCTTATGAGTAGCAAAATTAATAGGTAGTGTGAATTATGATTTAGGCTGTTAGTAACGATAATAGAAAAAATTAAATTTAAAAAAGATAAAGGGAAAAAGTAGCTTTATATCAATTTTATTAGTAGTCAAATGAACAGATAGTCTGAATTATGACTAGCTATTTGAAAATGTACAGAAATAGTTGAAGTTAAAAATATTAAATGTTGAACAAACCAGTGATGTTTCCGTGTCTTGATGTTAAATTTGGCTGAACATTCCAAACAAGTTTCCCCATCACTCCATGGTGGCTCTTTAGATAACATGTCTACAGGAGTATAACACAACTTTTGATAACATGTCTACAGGAGTATAACACAACTTTTGATAACATGTCTACAGGATTATAATACAACTTTTGATATTATGTCTACAGGATTATAATACAACTTTTGATATTATGTCTACAGGAGTTTAACTCCTTTTGATAATTTTTCTACACATTATAAGAAAACTTTTGATAACATGTCTAAACAAAATAACAAATATTTTTAACACATTATTTAACAATGTTTATTTGATTACTCTCTAACCCTTATCTCAAATAGAATGTAAAAGTATGTAAGTCTCTTACCTAATAGTTTGACTAACAGCTGTTTGGTGGCTACTGGAGCATTAAAAATACTGAGACCTTGTTTGTTCACTTGTCCGAGGCAGGCACCCGCTCGAACTAGAGCTCTACACAAGCTGCCATTGCCATTCAAGTAGGCCAGTAAAATAGCTGTGGGGAGGAGGTTAGATGTTACAACAGCCAAGCTTAAAGTAAATGGGAGGGACAGTAAAATATTTGTGGGGAGGAGGTTAAATGTTACAACAGCCAAGTTCAAAGTAAATGGGAAGGTCAGAGACTGGAATAGCCTGTAGCTATGGGGAGGAGGTTTGATATTACAACAGCCAAGCTTAAAGTAAATGGGAGGGACAGTTAAATATTTGTGGGGAGGAGGTTAGATGTTACAACAGCCAAGCTCAAAGTCAATGGGAGGGACAGAGACTTGAATACCCTGTAGCTGTGGGGAGGATAACTGTTGTTACAACAGCCAAGCTCTATGTATATTGAGTTGGACACATACACAGAGGGTGAGGACTTCTAGGTATCCTTGATTTGTCTAGCTATTTTCATCCAACATATCACACACAACTAGGTATAAAAAATTAGTGTATTTTGAGGTTAATGAACAAGAATCTAACAAAACAATTAAAGTAAAAAAATGAAGGTGAAATAAAAAGTCCACAGACCTGTGTTGCCCTCATTGTCTGGCCTGTCTATAGGGTACTCAGGCATGGTCTCTCGGAATAGTTCAAAGATGGCGGCGGCATTATCTTTGCCATACTGACCTAGTATATGGAGGGGGTTCTGACCTCTGTGAAGTACATGAGCACTTAGTTTTACTTGTGTTCGAATTACATTTTAATTTACTTATAAAATTATTCTATAACCCACAATATTTATTTTTAACCCACAAGATTAAAAGCAAAGCAAAACAGTTAAGAAGTTAATTACTTCCCTTGCTTATGATATTTAATTTACAGTGGAGATAACGTTTTAGTCCCTAAAATTTTCAAATTGTGGTGTCTAAAAATTTTAAATTCACACAAAATGCTTGACACTTGCGCCATAATATAAGCTAAGCTCCCCATCCCACAATCAATAAAACACTTGCGCCATAATACAAGCTAAGCTCCCCCATCCCGCAGTCAACATACAGACTTGTACCATAATACATGCTAAATCCCCCACACCATCACTTAAAATATTTTATCTATTGACTCACTTGGCATTGACTGCCTCAGCATTGATGGTGGATTCAGTCAACAAGACCTTGACTGTGGTGATGTTGCCATTGATCACAGCCCTGTGCAGTGCTAGCATCAAACAGGAAACAACAATTTATATAGGCCTACTCATTATCCACAGTAGCAGCAAATGTAAATGTTACTAGTGATGTTAAGTAAACTTAGTGGTCAAACTCTGTAAGTGGTGTAATTTTTCAATAAAATTTCACACATAACTACTGATAGATTTTATTTTCATATATAATTTAGACCATTTGTGGATTACATCTCTGTTCAAAACTACAGCATTTGAAATCTTTCAAACATTCCTCCAAGCTTTGAATGGAAGGTTTTTTTAAATGCAAAAAGATGGATTATGAAAAGGAAATTATTATTAAATAGGTGGCCAGAACAATGCATGATGGAAAAATTTGCTATGTAAAAAAGTGCGCAAAAATACTTTGAATGGGAATTTTTTTATCAAATCGATAGTTTAATTAATGATTTTAGTAAAATGTTACCACGTAAAAGTACCAAAAAAAAAACTTTACACACAATATGACCAAATGAAAGTGTATTTTTGAATCTTCTTCTTCTTTGTTCTTAATTTTTAGTGTTGGAAGGGATCGAGCCCTATCTGCCAGAGGGTTTGAACTTTTTCGAATTTATCACCCATGAGCTTTTGTCGACTCGACCACGCCTCCATCACAATTATTTTTGGATAATGAGTTTGTTTTTGTGCATATTTCCACTGAGCTTGTTCTGGAGCCACTAAATTAGCGTACCATTATTGAAATTATCATCCACAGCATCAAAGTCTGCGTTGTTGTCCAGCAATATAGAACAGATCGCACTACAGTCTTTAGAGGCGGCCAGGTGCAAGGCTGTTTCATGGGACTTTGTGCGTTCATCAACTGATGCTCCGGCCAGTAGCTGTGGAGCCAGGTAGAGATGTGTTTAGGACATGTGTTTAGGTTAAAGTTATGTTTAGGGCAGGTTTGTGTTTAGGCCAAGTGGTGTGTTTAGGGTTATTGTGTTTAGGTCAGGTTCTGATCAAGTGTTGTGTTTAGGTTAAGTGGTGTGTTTAGATTAAGTGTTGTGTTTAGGTTAAGTGTTGTGTTTAGACCAAATATTGTGTTTAGATTCATGTGTTTAGATCAAGGGCAGGCAGAACGTATGTTTCATGCAGACAGCTAAAAAAAATTCATAAAAAACGTTTTAATAACAAGCTTTTATGTAATAATGCACTAAAAAGTAGAAAATAAATTATAGACTACTATTTAAATAACTATAAAGAAAAGCGTGGGTCACTTTAGTATCTATTGGATACCTTTACTAATGTTAAGGAAGTCTATAATTTATTTTCTTCTTTTTAGTGCATTATTACATAAAAGCTTGTAATTAAAACGTTTTTTATGATTTTTTTTTTCAGTACTTTACATGTTTTATATACAATAGAGTTACATGACTAAAAACCATTGCGCGCCTACTGAACGTGACTGCGCAGCCATTGAACGTGATGGCGCAGCTATTGAACATGATGACGCGTGTGGTGTGGTTGGATAGACATGCCTACTAATTCGGTCCAAATTTTAATTAATTCATAAAAAATTAATTAGGCATCCAATTAAGTCAAATTTAATTTCAGATTGCATTGTCTTCATGTCTTGACCCACGTGCCAACTGTGAAGTTGGTCAAGTAGAAGTGTCCGAATTTTCATTCCGGCGTTTCGATCTAGACAGACTGACGACAGACAGACTGTCGAGGAAGTGAGTTAAATAAAAGCTTGTAACAACAGCAGATTGTCAAATATTACAGGACAAACTGGCAAACAGGTTGCTCAAAGCACCCCCAAAGATAAGAGAAGTAAATTTTTAGAGAATTTTTCAAACTAAGGCAAATAATAAAAGAATGATTTGAGACCAAGATCTTAGTGTACCTTATTTTTCATTAGGTTTAATCAAGGATACGTCAACACACACCAACAACAAACAAGTCCAACCTACCAACAAGTCAAACCTACCAACAAATCAAACCTACCAGCAAGTCAAACCTACCAACAAGTCCAACCTACCAACAAGTCCAACCTACCAACAAGTCCAACCTACCAACAAGTCCAACCTACCAGCAAGTCAAACCTACCAACAAATCAAACCTACCAGCAAGTCAAACCTACCAACAAGTCCAACCTACCAACAGGTCCAACCTACCAACAAGTCAAACCTACCAACAGGTCCAACCTACCAGCAAGTCAAACCTACCAACAAGTCAAACCTACCAGCAAGTCAAACCTACCAAATTTCTGACAATTATCTCAGAGCCTGTGAGCACGGCCAAGTGTAGTGGGGTCAGGTTCTGGCTGTCCTGTGTCCGAGAGTTGACGTTGGCGTTGACACTGAGCAGGAAGAGAACGCTCTCAATGTCCGCCTTCTGGATGGCTGTGTGGAGGAAGTTCTTGCCACGGGCGTCTACCTGAAGTAAAAACAGAAGTCTTAGAGTTCTTGGTTCTGGGGAACTGTATGGTCATATAATGGTTGTTGAAAGGGGTTCTACCTGAAGTAGAAACACAAGTCTTAGAGTTTGTGTCTTAGTTCTAGGGAATTGTATGGTTATATACTGTTTGTTGAAGGGGGTTCTACCTGAAGTAGAAACAGAAGTCTTAGAATACTTGTCTTAGTTCTGGGAAAGGGGAATTGTATGGTTATCAGTGTTCCCTCTAAGCTGTGGGGTCGCGTGGACGCGCAGTAATTTTGAGCTGCCGTGCAGTGATTTTGTAAAATAAATATATCTTTGTATAAGATTTTTAGAACACAGCGCACAAAAAATATTTGTTGTACTCTAGCTTTTCCTCCTTAGAGGGAACATTAATGGTCATATAGTGGTTGTTTAAGGGGGTTCTACATGGAGTAGAAACAGAACTCTAAGTCTTAGAGTTCTTTTCTTGGTTCTAGGAAAAGGGGAATTGTATGGTCATATACTGGTTGTGAAAGGAGGTGTCTCCTTACAGGGGGGTGGGGGTTATCAGTTATGGATATCTGTCACGTGGGTCAGGGACAGCTGTGAAGTTTAACTGGAGTGCTTGAGTGCTGAGAATCCTGAATGATGATTTTCAATAATAACTAAAGTTGGGGGGGGGGGGTGTTTATAATCAAGTATGCTTGAAAAATTTATAAATAAATTAGTTATATAAGACATTCTATGCTCATGAGATCATTAACAAAGAGTAGCTATACCATCTGTAATGTAACATGGGTCATGATGTGACTATAAACTACACTGGTGACCCCCTATCTTATGACCCCTTGAAAGTGTCATTTTTAGAACCCCTGTACTCATTATTGTTGCCTCTCTTAAGCCCTTATCATTCCCATCTCAAAAACACTTAGAAAATCATCAACACTACACTGTCAGAATTATAAAGCCGTGAGTTAAAGTTCAAACACCTGCAAGAGGTCAGGGGCTCACCTGTTCTGCTGCTGTTGGTTCACGGTTTAAAATAGCCTGGGCTGCCTTGTTGTCCTTCTTGAGCATGGCCGCGGCAAACGGGGTGTTGTTCTTCTTGTCTCTCAGGTTCAGGTCCAGCCCGGGGTGGGAGAGTAAGAGAGAGATGACCACAGGAAACTGGTTGTCTATGGCTACGTGGACAGGTGTCTTGCCATCAGAGTCCTGCAGGGGAGGAATTTGTAAGGCTGGGATGTTTTAATACTTAGGTTAATAGAAGGAATATTTTAGTTTAACACAAATTTGTATTGCAGGGATGTTTTAGTTTAACACAAATTTGTATGGCAGGGATGTTTTGGTTTAACACAAATTTGTATGGCAGGGATGTTTTAATACACAGGTTTATAGAAGGAATATCTTAGTTTAACACAAATTTGTATGGCAGGGATGTTTTGGTTTAACACAAATTTGTATGGCAGGGATGTTTTAATACACAGGTTTATAGAAGGAATATTTTAGTTTAACACAAAGGTTTATAGAAGGAGTACTTAAGTCTATAACACAAAGATTTAGAGTAGGAATGTTAATGTTTAAAAACAAAGGCTTGAAGTAAGAATATTTAAGTTTATCACAAAGGTTTATAGTTGGAATATTTAAGTTTTTAAGTTAAAAAGAAACAATTTGTTTTTTATTAATCAATTAGCAAATATATATGTATGGTATGAGATGGCCTAGCATTAGAGTGTTAGTGTTCTAACCAGAGAGTCTCAAGTTCAAATTTGGGTTAAGTCAGTGGATCGTCCTACCTCTAATGTGTATCTAACTCATGTTAGGGAAAGTATTGGCAGCTGAGCATAGTGCTGACCACACTATCCCTTCATAAGCAGACGTTACAGAAACAGGTGCTCTAATTAACTTGCAGAAAGGGCCTTTACATTTGAAGATGGAACTTTAATTTTTTTTGTATATCAATTTGATTTAGGTAGGATGGCATGGCCCAGCGATAGAGCTAGACTGCTAACCCGAGAGTCTTGAGTTCAAATCCGGGTATAAATCATTGGAATGTCCCTGAGTCCACCCCATTCTAATAGGTACTTAACTCACTTTAGGGAAAGGGCAGATGGGCATAGTGCTGACCTTGCTATTCCTTCATATGCCGAGGTCTCTGAAGCAGTTGAACTCTACTTCATCTGCCCCATGAGTCTTGGGCACAGGAAATGGTGATGATGTGATATAGAGTTTGTCTCCGCCATTAGCTTAACTGACTTACCTGAGCATTAACATCAGCGTTGTGCTCCATTAGACACTGGACTACCATCTCCAAGCCCCAGGCACATGCCATGTGCAAGGGACTCTGGCCATCACTGCAACATTTGAATGCAAATGTTAGAGATTCTATTCTATTTTAAAAAGTTCCCATCCCCTGTTTTTTTATATAAGAATATTCTAGAAAGTTTAGGGGAGATCACTCCCGGTTTATTTAAGTTAGTAACAACTACTTTCTGATATCAAATATTAAAAATTTCAATAAAAAAACGTAACGCTGTATTGAATATTTATTTTCAGAATTTTCATGATTTAATTAAAAGCATTTTTATTTTACTGGAATTGAAGAAAAATGTGAGTATTAAAAAATTCCTAAATTTACCTCCCCTCCTCAGCGCCTTCACCATTTGGTCCTGGCCTCCTTGGACTATTTTTATCACAGCCACTGTAGGGGATAACACAGGTAACATAGGTTTACAGTGTGACACCTTTATATTTTAAAACTAAACCAACACTAACCAAAAACTTGTAATATTTTTTAGAACTTAAACACTACAAGCATTGTCTCAAATTAGTATGCATTTTGGCATTTGAGTACTTTAAGACCAGGATGGCTTTCCCAGCTTTCTGTCAACTGGCTAGCAAGTTCAAGTAATGATAATAATTGACTTTAATTAAGCACAATATTTGACCTAAACACATTATTTGGCCTAAACACTTTACTTGATTTTTCCTTTTTTTTTTTCAGAAATTTGTTTCATAAAAGCGCTAGCAAAAGTGTGTGTATGAAGTTACTTTATTGTTTTAACCATGAAAAGCTGATCATTATTTTTTTGTCTAAAATCAAGTAAATAAATTATTACTTGAAGATTAATATTATTGAGTACAGCATTCAATAACTACTTATATAGTGTAGGAAATGCCTTTTTTAGCCATGAGTATGTAAAACATTCATCTAGGAAAATATGAGGAGTCTATTTGCAAAACCTGCTAAGTCACTTCTCACTGATTTAGAGGAAATCAACTTTAAAACTTTTTCTTGTTAACTAACCTTATGATTTTTCATATTTTACTGTTAAGAAATTTATTGTATATTATACCTTTTAGAACAAAAATTAGTATATTGCTTTAATTGCCACTTAATTAAGAAGACTAAAGAATAACTCATTTTTTTTCAAAAGCAGGTTTTGAAAAAGTACTCCTCAAATAATCCCAGCAAACAAAAATCTCTTGTTATGTAAGGGAGAAAGTTTACCTTCTGATGAGGAAGCAAGCGATGTGTTCATTGTTTTCATCCAAGGCCCTGTGTAGCAAGGTGTGGAAGTACCCACCTGAACTCTGGCTCCACAGGTTGACATCACACCCAAACTTCACCTGGAGTTAAATATAGGTGTTGTCAATTTGGTTAACAGAAAGTTGGTTGGCATTTAAAAGTATAGAAATTGTTTCAACATCTGAAATAAGAGAGATAAGGGTATGCATAGATAATCATATGAAGTGCATAAAAAACCCTTATTGCTTTAGGTGTTTATTTGTTAATTGACATTTGAACCCTTTGCCCTCTGAAAACTTGGGTACATTCCAACTGGATATAGAATAAGCGAGTTGAGACCAATCTGCAAGATCGCAGTACTAGCAGATCCAATATGAACAACTGACATTTGAAGAAGCATTACTTTTTCATGTTTATGATATACGAAGCCAGTTATAATTTAAAAAATAAAAGATTTAAAATAACCTACCAAGGTATGAGCAATATCTTCCTGGCCAGAGTCCAGGGCCTGCCACAATGGACAGTTCCCCTTGTCGTCAGTGACGTCCTTGTGGACACCTCTCTTACACAGGGCCTCAACCACCACTGGCAGATGGCGACTAATGGCATGCTGGATGACTGTCTCTTCATCTGGGGAGCTGTTGGGATCAGGGTATACATGGGGTCATGGGGTCACAATTTGCACATGGGGTTACAAACTACACATGGGGTTACAAGCTACACATGGGGTTACAAGCTACACATGGGGTTACAAGCTACACATGGGGTTACAAGCTACACATGGGGTTACAAGCTACACATGGGGTTACAAGCTACACATGGGGTCACAATTTGCACATGGGGTTACAAGCTACACATGGGGTTACAAGCTACACATGGGGTTACAAGCTACACATGGGGTTACAAGCTACACATGGGGTTACAAGCTACACATGGGGTTACAAGCTACACATGGGGTTATGAGGTCACAAGCAGTGTTCCCTCTAAGCTGCGCGATTGCGCGGCCGTGCAGTAGTTTTGAACCTGCCGCGCAGTCCTTTTGAAAATCCTTGTATAAGACTTTTAGAATACAGCGCACACAAAATACAAGTTGCACACAAGCCTTTTCCCCTTAGAGGGAATGTTGGTCACAAGTGACCACCTATTGTACATAAGGTCACAAGCTACACATGGGGTCACAAGTTACACACAGAATTACAAGCCACATGTGAAATCACAAACTTTTATAAGATCACAATCCTCAACAGGATCACAAACCAAAAGTGGAATCACACAACATGTTGAACCACAAACCACACAGAATCAAAATTCATGAAATGCCTAAATAAAACATATTTTCTATTTTACCCGTCTTTAATAAAAACTCACAGATTTTAAGTAAAAAAAAAAACTTTGTTCCTCAAAATATTCCTTAAAACTATCAAGGACCACAAAAATTTAAGAACAACTCCACGACCCAATTGGTACAAATATCTTACAGACATTAAACTACATTGAGAGAACAAATGGTTACAAATACAAGTTAGGGATCTAAAGGCATGTCCCTGGTGTTCTCATTTACTTACATAGCTTCAATGTCTGCCAGATTTTCCATGAGAAACAAAGCACTTTCAGTATCTTGTTTTTCTATGGCCTGCCAGAGTGGAAAGTGAGAAAAAAAAACATAAGCAGCACAACTCAAGGGAAATAACTTGCTTACTCCATGAAATGAATATTTATTTTACAGATAATTACTTTTCCTAATAGATGCACAAATGTTTTTAAATTCTAAAGTAAAATGTACATAGAATATAATACCCCATATATTTAAATATAAACGGTTGTAAATAAATAAGCAATGGACAGAATGCTCTGTGATTAAGCCAATGTTATGTGGTAGACTGTGTGTCAATGTTTATGTGATGAAGCCAATGTTATGTGGTATGCTGTAAGCCAATGTTATGTGATGGACTGTTGGTCAATGTTTATGTGATGAAGCCAATGTTATGTGAAATGCTATCAGTCATTGTTTATGTGATAAAGCCAATGTTATTTAGTATGATGTGTGCCAATGTTTATGTGGTATGCTGCTAGTCACCCCCACCCACCTGGTGCAACAGTGTCATCCCAGCTGAATTCTTCTCATTGATGTTGGCCCCACAGGCCAGCAGTTTGCCGGCCATGTCGTGCATGTTGTTCCACAAGGCCAGACCAAACACTGTCTGGCCGAGAGAGTCCTTGACATTGAAGTTTGGCAGGATCTTGGTGCTGACCCCTGATTTGGTCACTTCCACTGGGTTTAGAGATCAAAGTGTTTAGCATACTGTCTAGTTTTTTATGATTGAGAAAAAATTAGTCATAAAAAGGTTAATTTTAAAATACTCTAAATGTTTCCGAAGACAGACGTATCAAGCAGTACAGAGAGAGAAAAAATGTGTTGATCATAATTTCCTCTAAAATTTTTTCAATGTCTCAAATTTCAAACACATTCTTCCTATACTATATAGCACATTGGTTAACATTTTTTCATTAAGGTTCCATAATAACTAGGGGACATAAATCCCAATTTTTAAAAAAAAATTGCATTAAAAAATTTAAAACAAATTATTTAATGAATTAGCATTTAATTTTTTTTTTGTAACAAAAAAAGGTATGTGATGGGGAATATTAAAAGGCTATTTACAGATTTTAAAAAGCTGATAATTACAGATAAATACCTTTGTAATCTAAGAACACTTGAACAACAGAGTGATGTCCCTTGATGAGAGCCAGATGCAGGGGTGTCTGCTGGGACGCTTCAAGCTGCGTCTGCTCATAGCCTAGAACGGAATGTGTGGGGGTGCGCACAGTTTGAGCATTTGGGTTAGAGCCATGTTCCAGCAACTCTCTCACAAGGGAGGTCAGCCCTTCCTCACATGCTATGTGTAATGGTGTCTCTCCCTATACATGGCATTACAACTAGCATTAGAAAAACAACATACAAATAATTATTATTATATTCATAACCTAGTGCTAGTAACCAATATATTATGGGTGATTGAATGTAAGCAGGAAACGAAAATGGATATGTAGTATCCGCAGAAAAAATATAAACTACTAGCTTAGCTACGGTAATAGAAATACCGCAATGCCCTGACGAATGTCCTTGTGAATGCAACCTATAGGTGTGGATATGAATGTTCCCTCAGCGATAAGCGCTGGTGGCGGTCCGCTCAATGGTGTTGATATTCCATCAGCGCACCGCACTGTGTGCTGGTTGCAGTAGCACTTTGGTTTTGGATATGGGTATTCACGTAAATTAAGATACGATAAAATGAGCCAATGCTGTTATTGATGTCCATACAATAAAAGCTCATTAGCTTTACAGCTAATCTTAAGAGATAATAGCCAATTAGTCAAAAAAAGCTCATTAGCTTTACAGCTAATCTTAAGAGATAATAGCCAATTAGTCAAAAAAAACTCATTAGCTTTACAGCTAATCTTAAGAGATAATAGCCAATTAGTCAAAAATCGAGGAATAACATTTGAACAGCCAAAATCTTAAGGTATATAAGCCACATTCTCAACCCTCCATCCTCAAAGACTTATAAAGATGTATATAAGTGAGAGTTGCCTTAAAGTTTGGCTGCCCCACAGAAGCGCCATGCTTGGTGAGGAAGATGCCAGCAGACTGGTACCCATGCATGGCTGCCAGGTGCAGCAGACTGTTGCCTGACTCCGGCTCCACAGCATCAGGTGAGGCCCCGGCTTTGATGAGCAGGGCTGCAAAACTGTCTTCTCCATACACAGCACTGGTGCTGTCTTGTGCACTTTCTGCCTGTATCAGAACAAAAGTGTGGTTAGTAAAACAGGCGAAATTTTGTTGCTGATTCAGTTTAGTAAAACTGTTTAAAATGCTTTTAATTTATTTAACATTAAGAATACTTAGTCGTCCAAAAGTCAAAATGAATTTAAAGTTATGCTGTTTAACGGCATTTATCAATACAAATCAAGAGCGACATAACTGTAGTTTTGATTTTTCAGCTGTGATGATTGAAGATATCAATGTCCGATAATAGACTCTTCCAAATAAGGTGTGTTGGGTTGTTTGTAGTATTGTAACCTCGACTATTTTTATAGTTAGAAATTAGGGTTAGGCATATGGTGGTACTAGAGTTGGGGTTAGGGTTAGAGTTAGCATTGACATTAGTAGCATGCCATGTGTGTATTTTAGTTAACTACCAACTACCAGTAACCTATCACCCCTTTTTTAAGAAGATTCTATTATCGGACACTGGTATAAAAAATCCCCCAATAATCTAAAACAATTAGGTACTTTTGTATTGAATAATGAAGATTAACCTGTTGTTGAAGTGCCAACCAGAGAACTGTAAGCCCATCTGAGTTCTTGATCTCCATATTCATCCTCCCACAGGATAGAAGCACATGAAAGACTGCCTCGTTCCTACTGATGATGGCATTGTGTAGAGGTGTACTGTGGACGTAATGGGGAGAATTTATGAACAAATGCAATGTGAAGCATCATATGGGAAGGCGTCGTTGGGTGGTAAAAGGGCAAATTGCTAACATGAAAGTCTCAAATCCCTGAGTTCACTCAGCTCTAATGGGTACCTGGCTCAAGTTAGGAAAGTAAAAGTAACTGGGTATAGGACTGACCAAACTATCCCTTCAACTGCAGAGGCCATGGACAGATGAACTTTATTCACCTGCCCTTATGAGCAGCGGCTCAGAATGAGTACCTTAACTTTACTTATTTTTATAGGACAGGCACAAAAACTCAACACCAAGCAATTTGTTTTACACACAACAACATTCCACTCAGGATTGAATTAGGATTTCTTCATGAAACAAATAAAAACATCTGTTTACTGATGTTTATCTGTTTTTATAATACCATTCTGAGGTGGTTTATGTATCCCTTCATTTTTAATGTTCAATTCTAGATTCATCATGAAAGACTGATAAATGTTCTTAAAATCTGTGGGTTAAACTGTGTTAACTATTGATTGGCTTTTATTGGCTTCTATCATCTGGCACATATAACAGATACTATAAAATAACTGACCTGCCAGTTGAGTCTTGAGCATTTACATTAGCTTTGTGATGAACCAACAGTTTGGCTATGTTGGCCATTCCTGTAATAATGACTGGATCAGTGATCTGTACAGAATTATTAAAAATTAGAAATATTTTTAATATAATGTATCATAACTTTGAAATAGGTATTTTTTAAAGAAAACTTGAAATTGCTGAATATTTGCACTAATTGTTAGTAAGTGTATAAAATTATTCAAAGTGCATTGTTGTCCGTGTTATGTATGACAATATCTCAATCATGCAGGGTTTTCATCATGCCATTAAAGAATAACAATAGTGACATGTCCAAATATACTAAATAGAATGATCTTTGATTGACAAAACCATAGATTAAAGGCATAGGCATAATATTGGAAAAATGTTAGTACAATGACATTTCACTAACAACAATCCTTAAATCAGACTTAGGCATAATATTGGGGAAATTGTAAGTACAGACAAGTCTATTATCCCATAAATTAGATATTGATATAGCTATGGGAAAAATGTAAGTACAATGACATTTCACTAACAACAATCCTTAACTCAGACTTAAGCATAATATCGGGGAAATTGTAAGTACAGTGATATTTGACAGACAAGTCTATTATCCCATAACTTAGACAGTGACATAGCAATAGAAAAATGTAAGTACAATGACGTCTGATAGAACAACAGCATGACAAAATGTGAGCACTTAACATAATAGCACTTAACCCTGTAGTTCGTGGTCACTAAACACTTAAAGCCAACGACTAAACACTAGTCATATTGTGTTTAACTCAATTTTTTGTAAGCCTCTTTAACCACCAGGCTTCCCCACTTTTATGAACAATTGCTCGGTGTGTAATTTAAGTTATTTTTTTTTATCTAAACTCACATGAAAATAAAATAAATATTTAAGTTATCAGAATGTCATATAAAAACTAATTATTTATAATTTATAAATGTTAAACTTCATTTTTTTTAATAAAGTTTTCTACTAATTGTATGTACATCACAATGTTTTTATAATAATAGTAAAAACATGTATAACTTTAAATCAGAGTCAATGTGTTAAGATTATCCTATAGTTTAATTTTTTTTAAATACTATATAACATGTAATGATAAAGTGATGTCTATAAAGCAGGACGAAGCACTAGCCCATGATAAACATTCAGTATACACTATATGAAATCAAACACTATTTTTATTAGTTGTTTTTTTTTATTAAATCATGACATTTTCATATTAATATAAGCTGTATGATAGTGGAAGACAACACCCAACACATGTAATACAAACTTACTTCATTTCCTGGTTGCTTCAGAAAGACAGAGAGAGAATAATGATATGGCCATGATATCAAAGATAGCAATATTTCCATGATAGAAACGCCAACAGAAATTTTTAACTACGTATTCTTCCCATGTTTTACAAGCATTAAAGAGTAGGGTGGGTGTACAAAAGTTGGACATACCTTCGGATCAAACTTGGCAACCATGTGTAAGGGGGTCTCTTTGTCTAAGTGAGTGGCCAGGTTAGTGTCGCAGCCATTCTTTATGAGAAAATCTGCGGCCGCCTCATCACCTTTCAGTAACATTTTTAAATTAATATTTCAGCTATAATTTTAGCAGCATAATTAATTATTATTTCATTAGGAGTCCACCCAGCTCTTATGGGGTACCTGACTCTGGTTAAGGAAAGTAAAGCGGCTAGGCATAGTGCTGACCATACTATCACTTCATACGCCCAAGTCACAGAAACAGATGAACTCTACTTTATATTCACTATGAACAGCCAGATTCAGATGGGCAACTATACTTTCTTTACTTAAGGAAGAAGTATTTTATTTCAATTCAAGATGAAAGCTTGAATTTTTTCTTAAATCACAGAGTTTAAGAGCATGCATGTACTTCCAATATTTATTAACAATAGAAAGCATGAGTAGAAAGTAGAAACAGAGGAAGTGTAAGCTGTGATTGAATGTTCCCAACCTCTTTGTATGGCCTTGTACAGCAAACATTTGCCAGAGTTATCTTTCCTGTTGACATCAGCCTTGTTGGCCACCAGGGTCTGGGCTATCCCAGTCTGGTTGCTTTTCAGAGCAAGGTCAAGGGCAAGGTCACCCTTGTTGTCTACTTCATTCACCTTCACAGAAAGCTGGGGAAGCCATTTGAAAATTCTTTAAACAGTGCATAAATATTGACACATTGTATAATACCAAATAAGCAAGATTAATGACAAAATAAACATTAAAGTAAAAGTCTCAGCAACCTTTGACAATAAAAAAAAAACAGGTCCATATCACTGAATGTCAACAGTATCAACACTAAAAAATAACTGGTATCGTTTTAGAGAACAAGAAAATTTGCATTGGGTATTGAATCATTTGTTTAGTGAAAGTTTTTTTTTAATGCGTGGTGGCTTGACGCCTCAAGGAAAAAGGAAACAGGGAGAGCCAAAGGAGACGTGGAGGCACATGGCAGAAAAGCAGGGCTATTTTGGGGGGACTGACAAGAAAATTGCCAAGACCGGCAAAAGTTGAGATTTCTGTGGTGGCCCCATGTGTCCTGGGCACAAAAGGGAAAAGATGATGATAATGTTAGGTGTTACAAACTAAATACACTTCTTCTTCTTAATTTTAGAGTGGGATGGATCCCCTCCAAACAGAATTAATTATCAGCTGGTTATGTGCCATTGAGGCCATTGACTCTGATTTCAGCCTGCTTTTTTTTTGGATTTGCTTCCATAGCCTTTGTCCAACCAAGAACAAACTACAAGGTTGCAGTTGTTTGATTATGGAGTTGTCTCTCCTAGAAGAGTGGCTGTCCCCAGCTAAGAAGTCTTATTAGCCAGAGGGTTTGAACTCAAGACTTTTCGGTTTATCAACCATGAGCTTTACTGACTCAACCACGCTGACCCCTACAAAATACACACATTTCAGTGGTGTCTTTCTCTTGTTGTCATAGTTGAAGCTTGTGCTGGTGTAATTAATGTTGTGATGTCCCATACTGAAATCTGGTGGTAGTGGCTAAGGCTGATAAAATTAGCTGTTAAACCTCTTACATACCTGCTGGTGTACTAGCCTAAGCCCAGTGGTAACTAAACTAACCAAGTAATTATAAGGCACTGTGCCACCTCCCTGCAGTGTACACACCTGTGAGTCGTACTCAATGAGGTACAAGAAGACAACATCCTCCCTCTCTGTCCTGATGGCCGTGTGTAGGGGGTACTCAGTTTTGTTCTTGAACATGTCATACAGCAGTGGGGCTGGCATGCTGACAAAGTCCTCTCTGGTGAATTGGTTCTGGAAATTCGTTCATGCTTTATTACAAGTGAGTTGAATGAATGTAACATAACATCAGTTGTTGATTGTTGTGAAAAGACAAAAGAGTATGCAAGTGTAATGTGATGAGAGAAAATGGTCCTGGGTAAAATAGTTAATTTTTCAAAACAGAAGAGTTTCAGTTTAAAGGTCATGTGATAGAAATCAACCATTTCTAAACCTCAAAAAAGTTGAAACCTTCAAATATATTTAGTTGCACTTAGCTAGCATCAGAATATTAAAATGTAGTCATAAAAGTAAGATAACCATTTAATATTTCAACGTTTGATTTGATTTTTTTAAATTTAAGTTTGCATCAGAACACAAAATATAATCACTTAGGTAAGATAGCTATTTAATTTAATTGTTTTTTAACCTTTGTAATTTCTATAATTTCAGTTTTAAAATGGTTTGTAACAAAATGTAGAGGACTTATCCTTATTTGTCTACCCTGTTTAAATAGCGGAACTGGCCAAGAGAATTTTTGTATTATCTGCTCTTGAATTACAATCCCAAACACAAATGATGAGGTATAGATTAAATAAATAAATTTAAACTACTACCAGACTATATATAGTTGGATAAAAAAAATTATTCATGTTCATATTTTGATACATCCCCATCTGCTGTTATACTTTTGTTTTTAAATTTTATAATAACATACACAATGTCATATTATTGATTTTTTTCTCTTTATACCATTGGAAAATAGTTATCAGCTGTAGTGAATTAACAATGGTTCAACAAAGCTAAACCTCACCCAATGGTTGGATATTAGTTCAGAGCAGTATTTCTTCAACACCTCCGCTTGCATTTCTTCTGCTGTCTGGTAGAATTTTATGCAATTCTTCATGTTCACAAATGACATCAACCCATTTTCACACCTACAGTTTAAAAAAGATTTATTTTTTAATGACTAACATGCTGTTAAAAAAGAGAGGAGTTGATTCAATGAGTTCTCTTTTCAAAAACAAATTCAGCAATTTTGATTTATTCACAACACTGATTCTATATTGGTTAATTTGCAATTTAACTACATCTCACTACACACCATAGTGTTTTTATTTATTTATTTTCTTTTTCATTTTGAAGCAAAAACTTCATTTACCGCAGTATTCCTATATCACACACACTGAGTTAAACCAGCAAATAACATGGAGCTTGACATTATATTGTAGGCTATTGGTTAATACAATCTGTTCCACTGAGACCATAAGGTTTTAAAAGATAATTTTTCTATTTTAAGAATAAAATGTCAAGCATCAAACCTGGTTCTCAGCTCATCAAGCTTGTATTTGGTAGCAGCTCGAAGAAGCTCCAGTAAAAATGAATCCTGCGCTTGAATATTGATTTCATCTGTATAGATCCACCTGATTAGAGCGTATGCTACATCATGCCGAATATCTGTTGAAATATTTCACTTTTTAAACACTTTACTAAAATAGTTGGACAGAAATTCCGGGTTAGAGTAGGAATGAGATATTAAAATTCATTTTAGCATTTCATTTTTATATGTTTTACTAAGTCAAGATACGAATTATGTGATTACGTGACTGCTTATAGTGATATTTAGACATGTGTTCAGTTGTAGATTTAATTGGCTGGGCATCATGGTTTTTTTTTAAAAATACTTTTCTAGTAATAAGGTAGGGTCAGTTCTCCTAGAATTTAAATGTTTTTTTTTACTGTTTGACAACTCTAAAGAACTTTAGCTTGAAAAAGACAAAAGTGCACTCTAAATTTGCTGAACAGTAAAAAAAATTCTCAATGCACACTACAACCAAAATAAACTTTAGCTGCCATGGCACCATGGCAATTTTCTATTGTTCTGTACCTACCTGTCATGTTCAACTCTGAGACAACTTGAAGATCTGGCACACCCCAGTCATAACTTCTGGCAGACAAGATGAATTTGTGTGCACACACATCTTGCCCGCCTTCCAGTTGAATTGTCAAGTCACTAAATCAAAGACAATCATACATATTTTATTCTTTGATGTAAAAGATATACAAAATTAAAGATGCAAAAGCTTTTCTAGACAAATACAGTATAAGTAATTATCAAACTAAAACTAAATTTAAATAAAAACTTCACTCTTATAAATTTTAGAAAATTTTTTATATTTTCTTCCTTTTAGAAATAAAATATGTATTTACAACAAGAATATTATAAATTGCACATGTATAAAAAGTGTATACATCTTATAATAAGAAGGTTGAACCTGTATTGTTCCTTATCAAACAAGTCAGCAATAAATTTGAGCAGACGTGAGACAAATCCATCTTGACCCTCTCCATTACCAGGTCCTGCTGCAATAGCAACTTGGTATCTCCGTTCAACGTCTGCTAGCTTATTCTGAAGTTTAACATATTCTTCTCTCAGTAAGCTAAGGTGGTTTTGCAACTTTGAGACTTCATCTGTGTTTGAGATATTTTTTTTCAAAAGTCAATCTAATAAAGTAATTTGCAAGTTATAGCCTAATAAAAATAGATAGGTTTTTATTTAGGGGACGGCATGACATAACTGTAGAGCACTAGACTGCTTTCGGATCTGGTAGACTAACTAATGCTCTGTCTCTAGGCCACTCTGTCCCATTGGTTGCACATAATTATTAATTAATGCACATATATTGATAATATTCATATGACTTGCTAAAGTCAATGCTAAGCTTATCCATTACCTTAGCCCTACCATGGCCAAATTAATCTCATATTATAGGCCTATATGCCTAATTAATACTAATTATTAATCTATTTAATTATAGTAAATTATAGTAATTAGGCCTACTAACTACTAACTAATAGTAGCAGACTCAGTTTTATTTAAACCGCTAGCTAAAACTAAAATACTAAAACAACCCTAATACTAACAAGTAACAAACATCATACACCTATTTTTGGGAGAGTCAATACTGAGAATTACTAAGTTATTACTTAACTATACTAATAATACTAAGTATACTCTCTAGTAGATTCTAATATAATTACTATAATTAGTAATTAGTGCAGGCTACCTGAAATTGGTGGAATGGGATTTACGTCGATTTAGAATTTAGGCTATTTTAAAATTAATTTAAGTATTTTATCAGTTCTACCAATTCTTTATGTTCACAAACAAACCACAAATGACAAAACTCATGAAAATTGACATCAACTTCATTCATCACTTCATCAACCCATTTTGAAAATGATTTTCATCTGATTTTCACAATATATACTAGACTAGATCTAGATCTAGATCTATATACTGGCAAGTGGCAATACATCTAAAATTTTAAAACAAGATTTTTTTTAAAATGACGAACACTCTTTCGGGATAGAGACAGGTGATTAAACTGACTGTTTAGGCTTGTTATACGTAAAATATGTTAATAAAAACATGAGTAGTGGTTTTTAAAAATGTTTCTATTAAGTGTATTCAATGGGATGATCACACCCCTTGACGATGTGTTTTGCTCAAATGATAAACACTTCCTTACCGGCGGCCATGTTATCGTGTTTGATCATGTGACCTGTAATTATTTGAAGCAGCTCAGTTGAAAAATATTTTTCCTTCAGAAAAAATAATCAATTTAAATATTGACTTATTCCATAAATTCTAAGCGGTCGAATTTGTTTGTTTTTTATTTCGCATATGCGCTTTTGGGATAGAACATGAATGCTAGTCTAAGCGTAAATGACGTCAGTATTATACACCCAGTGGTTGGGAATTTAGAAGTGAACGCATTTTAGTTTTTGTTTTTTTCAAACCTAATTTTGTATCGATTATTGTATATTATTTTAAAATTTTTTTGTTGAAATTCATATGAAAATGAACCAATGATTCTTGTATCGATCAGAATATGCTGCATAAATAATGATTAGCGATGTTTTCGGCTATGTAAAACTAGTTATCAAACCAAGGGTGACAACTCATTTAATAGTTTCGAAAAATAATCACAGCTTCTTATATCCCCTAATGGAAATAGAACAGTAGTCTGCTGAAGGATACTATGGATAGTGAAACATTTTAAATGGGTGTGGATGTTCACTTCTGTTAAAATTGTGGTATGTTGACATAAATTATACAACTTCACACAAGTGTTCAGTGGTTAAAGCTGCTGATTTGACATTAATCAAATAACTCCATCCACGTGGTTTGAAGTTTACAGGTATTATACAACTTAACCAATGTTTCTTTCAGTCACTTCTTGGGGGGAGGGATAGGATGTCCACCACTCCCTCTCCTTGGACGAAATTATATAAAATATATATAGAAATTATATACTTTGACCAGTGCCCCAAATACTTCACCCCCCCCCCCCCCCCAGAGAAAAATTACTGAAAGAAACTTACCACTAATGTATATACTAAATACTGTGTGAAGCTGCTATGTTGTCTTTTGTTAGTTTATTTCTTAAGAAAAATCAGTACATTATAAAATGTGATAATCTCAAAACAAAAATATCAGCAGCCTTAAACACAGGTGAAAGCAGGGGGGGGGGGCGGGGTCCTAGTTACTTTCAGGTTAGCACTCAAGTGCTCTACCACTTCCCACTGCGTCCCACTACTGTAGTACTATTAATGTGATAAAGAAAAGGAAACACAACTTTTTTTACTTTTTTTTGTATTCAGTATATACTTGCATTGGGTTAATAGATTAATTAGGGGTGGCTAATTCTCCAAATTAATTTCACTTCCAACAAATTAACAAAAACAAATCTCAATCAACATAAAAAACTCTCAATAAACTTGTTACTTTTTTTTTATTGCAGTACTTCCGAGCTGACATTTATTCTGCATATAGACAGACATATGTCTACACATGATTTATGATACATATAAAATAAACATAATACAAGTATTTACAGAAGAGAGAAAAAAAATTAAATCACCATTGTTGATTTTTACATGATTTAAAAAACAAAATTCCCAGTCAAAGCACTTTCAACACATTTAAACAGCCACCATACGCCTCTGTTTATAATATCTAATTACAGTTCTATTTTTAAAAATGTAATGAAGTTTAATTAAGGACAACATGAAGATGTTCAATAAATTATACAGTGCACAGTTCTAAACAAAAACAAAAAAAAAACAAGTTTAAGTATTATTTACTGACATTTAAATTAAAAGTAAAATTGATTTACACTTTGCATACAATAATTAACAGGACAAATGGATAGTATACAATGATTAAACTTATCTTTTACCATCATGTCAAAGTACGTTTTGTTTTGAATAAAATTTTATAATCAAGTTTTTTTAATTACCTTGGCATAAAATATTTACTTAAAAGGTCTTTAGGTCCAACTAATAAAGATGACAACTATTTAATTGGGTTAAATAAAGCAAATTTTGAAATTTCTTGAATATTTAATTAAATGCATCAATTAAGCTAAATTAATGCTAATAGAAAACCATGAAAAAGTGGCAGTGCCTTCCATTTTTATGACTAATTCAAATATATATAAATTCTTAACTAAATATTAGCTATACTTATAGAAAGGAATTCCAGAATAATTAAACTTTTTAGTAGTCGAAAAGAAACAAAATTAAATTATGACAATTGACATTGCAAAATTTCAAGTGTAAAAATATATATCAAGAATACAGATTACTACTTTTAACATGATAAGTGTTAGCCTATGCACAGTAAGAACAGCAATCTAGGCTACACCAATAGCACAAGGGGCAGCCACTGAACATCAAGTATTAAATTTTATTTTGTTCCCTTCATTCATCCTGCTCTTAGTTTTTGTGTAACCATGGTTGTTAAATTGTGCTAGACTAGGGTAAAAAATAATTAATGAGCATGAACTGAAATTTAATTACTAGTGTGAGATATTTTCTAGGCATTTAAATAAACAAACACTTGTTACATAAAGCAAAGAATAGTTTAGCACTATACAGATTCCCAGAAGTAACAATATGTATAAGAAATAATACAATAGTGCACCAGAACAAAATTAAATGCAATCAAATTTCTAGAATAATAAAATGTAAATAATGTAACTAAAAAAACTTGATTTTTTTACCCTAAAGATCTAACAAGGAAAATGTTTAATCTACTGTAGCATTTATGCTATTATTTAATCATTTAGAACTGGTCGATACAGAAAAATTATTAAATGAAGAGGTTTCTAAATTTTAAATGCAGAACCTATATAAATTTTTTTTAAATGGCATTTCTAGCATTGTTAAAAATCAGGGGTGAATTGATATTGAATCATTGAAAACTAAAAATGTTTTTACCCCGATATTTTTTTGGACAGACATAACTAGTAAGACCTGGATACACTAATACAACAATGCATCAAAAATTAGTTTTTTTCTTTTGAAAACAAAACAAAAAAACCAAATAGCCTGACCAAGCTTGAGGTATTAGGAAATGTATTTATAAAATATTAAAGATGACTCCAATTTAAGTTTATCACATGCTGATGTTACAATCAGGACCAGATTTTGACTGGATAAGTTATTTTCTATACAAAACTTGAAGTCCAGAATATATGTCAGAGCTAAAAAAAAAAAAAGTGTTTGTAACTGTAGCGGAAAGATAACTCTGCCTACACCAGTTTAGAAAATAGATTTTTTTAAGAAACATAAAAAAATAAATCTGGTGAGACAATGTCCACCATGGTTTTAAAAACAACACTTTTGGGGGGGGGGGGGGGGGGGGGGGTGTCCCCAAACAGCAGGGGCCCTAAGCTATAGCATGTTTAGCTTGTACCCATATCCGGTACTGGTTGTCAAAGCTATCACAATACTCACATCAGTCCTACCTCTAACCAATGAATGATTCAAACACAGGCCATCAGTTTTAAAAAAAATATTCCTAGAAGTACTTCTGCATTAAATACTACGACTAGCCTAAATCAAAATATCATCTAATATTGTAATATGTGCATACGTTTAAATAATAAAATGTAATATTGTGTTTAAGTCTTAATTTTTTTTTTATTTAAGACATCCACTTTATTTGCTTATACTAGGTACTAAGTTATACAGGTCATAGTAGTCATCCATTAATGACATCAATTGGGAGGAGGGGAGCTGATATAGATATTGTGGTTGTGTGTGGACTTGGGAGGGGGGGGGAAGGCTCTGGAACATGTGGACTAGGCATAAAATTTAACATTAAAATACTTATAAGGTTTTCAGAAACACAGAACTACTTTTGTCCTGCATATAAAGTCTACACATTTACATGACAGTGGTCTTGTGTTACAAGAGTTCAGTGGGTAATTAAGTCATTGTCCATATTTACTTTATTATAACAACATACCTCTTTATGATAAGCAAGCCTATAATAAAAACAGAATTATCGATCACGAAACTATGATGGTGATACAACCATCCAAAATGTTACTCCTTAAAAAATTCTACATCAGGTTTTAGTAAAGATATAATAATTAAAGCAATATAAATGGTCATCTTAGATTCCTTTTTGAAAATATTTTTGACTCAACAACTTTTAGCTTCTACTCTTTACAATTTATAGCTTTGCATTGTCCAATATGGATGAAGGGAATAATAAATTTTGTTTTGGACCTCATAAATGGAATACCGTATACTTATAGATTGTTTCGACAATATTTTCACATGTGTGTTGTGATAATTATCACATTTGACAGTTATCCAACTATCACAATATATCTTAGAAGATGAGGTTTTACCGTTATTTTTAGAGTGCTTATCTCATCTATAAAGTTTGTCACTGTATGCAGTTAATAAACTATTTTAAAATACAGAAATAAATAATGTTTACCCGTTATTAATTTAAGTAAATCTGCTTTCATCATATTACTTCAAAGTTAATAACTTAAACATTAGATAGAACTATAAGTGTTATGTATACAAATCAAAACTCCACAATGCTTCACATTCAGTTAAACAGGGTGAATATACAATCAAGTTGTATAAATAGTTTTCTGTGACTTGATTCTATTTGTACAACATTTTTAAATAATTAGCTCTCTGGGAGGATACTATTTGTACATTTAAAATTTGTATATGTTTCCTTTTTAAAATCTTGGAGGTAGTTGTATATCATAAGCCACACTGCTTCTCTCCTTCTGATATGGTAAAATGAAATACATTTTAGCACAAGTGAACATTTCTGAATGATTACTGAGAGTATTTCAAGCATCCATTATAACAGTTGCTTTGATCATATTTTATTCCATTGAAGTTCATTTGGTTATAAGATCCATTGAAATTATAAATATCCAAAGAAGTTTTAAGTTTTTAATATTTAAAAAAAAAATTTCTTTATTAAAAGTTTTAATCAATAAAACTATTTTTAGCAGTTATGACCTTTCAAAGCGTCAAACTAGAAAAAGAAAAGAAAAATTTCTGGTTTCTGAGAAATTTTTGTTAATGTAAAATTTACTCAAAAAGCAGCCAGGTAAATAGAATGAAATTTGGTTTAAACTCAAGACGCAATATACAAAAACAAAGCAACTTTGTTTTCATAAATGCCACACTTTTAAAAAAAAGTATGACATTAACAGGCATTATAAATACTAGAGTAGTGTAAATAAATTTGCATAAAATTCTACATGTGATGAAATTTTACATTTTGTACAAGCATTTTAAAAAGTGGTTGTTATCTTGAGCTATTAACAAATGGTCAAATCCATTACAAGCAAATCAAATGTATTATTTTAAATTAAAGACTATTTATAAACCCAAAGAATTAAGTATTGGCAAGACAACTTTTAAAAATAATTTAATGGGAAAATAATTATAGCATTTAAATAATTAAATCAGAATATTTTTTATGAGTAAGATCAAGTATCTTTCGGTTAAGTGCTTCTCAACATGTTGGCTTCTCAACATATAGCCTGTGTGCAAACCAGCAGTCTGTGGTTTAACAAATGCTATGCCACATAAGCCTTACAATCAAACAATACAAGGGTTGACTGTAAAAAGTTAAACTACAAAAATGTTTGCCAGATAAGTTTTTTAAAAGTGTCACCAAATGGAATAAAATGAATTTAAGATGAATGAACAGAAAACTTCCCCTACTACACAAGCGACCTAACCTATTGCATTTGGTGAGCAAGATTAATTATCAAACTAATGAAAATTCTTAAGGATGATTTATTTTAAAATTTAAGAATCAGTTGTCATTTTAAATTTAAAAAAAAAAACTGACAAAATATTTTAAATAACTACACAAAAACAAAATACTACAACACTAGCAGACTTGTATTATAAAGACATCAGTGACCCAGGTTTTGTAATACAAAAAAAAAAAACAAAAGAATTCCACTTCCTTCATACAGCCTTCAACAGGCAGGCCAGTTTTTTCTTAAATAGAAGAACCTTGCTGGCAATTAAACAACGACAGTTTGTTGATCTTTGGGTTACTGAGCAGTACCTCCAGGAGCTTAACTAGCAGCAATGAGTACCCAGCATTCGTTGGTGGAAAAAGTCATCTAAATCATTGTACTGGTTGATGAAGTTTAAAGGATGAGCTAGTCACACCTCACAAACAACAAAATTAAATCTGTCTACAACTAAAAAAAAAATGTCCCAATACCCACAAGCTATAGTTACAATGAAACCAGCAAATCTATCAATCTATGTCAAAGTTACTGAATGGTAAACTTTAAAAATGGCCAAACACCATTGAAGTATAGCAATAACCCAGGAAAATAAGTAGACGCTTTTAAGCAGTGGAAGTAAAATGGGTAATAATAAACTAGTAGTTACAGAGGAAAAAGGAAAAATAAATTTTTAAAACTGCTATGAGATGAATAAGAAAAAATCATTTATACTGGATTGAATTATAAATTTAATTTTTTTGGCTCACCAATTGTATCAAATCAAATAATTTATTTTTCTAAAACAGACTGTAGTAATAGTCATACTATTTAAGTTTTAATAGTATTTTAAAACAAAATTCAGCCAAACCCTATAGCGAAAATATAAAAGATGTTTTTTTAGGGGGAGGGGGAGAGAAATCAGTGTAATAACTAAATATATTAAGCTAAATAAAAGACAATCACCAGAAAAGAGCAGGGATAAAGGTGTATGAAAACCACAACACAAAAGAGTGTTAGTAGTTCAACAACAATTCTCATGGTTATGGCTGGTGTTATTAATAATTTTTTTTTTGGTTAATAAAAGCAGTTCAAGAGCTACAAGGTGATAGTTACATAAACATCTACCAAGTATAAGACATTGGTGGTACGAAGCTGTTTGCCTTATGGCAGAATTCTCTGCAGAGTATGAATCACCACTTCCCTTTGACCCCCACCAATTTAAGCATCTATAATTAGCACAGGGTTGCTATTTTTAAAAAACAAATATAGGGCCTTTTCATATAAAATACTCTTGAGAGTTACTAGCTGCAATTATTTATTTCTTCAAGCCGATTAACAGCAACTAAGAATTTACTGCTGAACAGTTATTTAAGATATTTATATAAAAAAGCCCTAAAAAAGATTGTAGCAGATTTTTTTTTTAATTTTAAAACATTTTACAAAAATTGAATTTAAGAAGTTACATTTTCATGTTAACTATTACATTGTTCATCTTATTGTTCAAATTATTAATTAATGTACATTATTAATTAAGTGCTGAGTGCCAGTGAAGTTTAAATGCAATTAGACATACTTATTTTATGTTAGTCAAACAAGTGTTCTCAGTGTATTTTATATGTGAAGATAAATAGTTTAAAGTTCAGCATTAATTTTTCACTAAAATGTAAAAAAAAAAAACTACATATTTATTATTTTAAAATATTAATTTTTTTTTAAAATATCTTACAAAAAGAAAATTATTTAAAAATCTAAATAAAATAATAGTTTCCAGCTACGAAAATTACTAGCTTTAGAAATATATTAGTGTAAATAAAAATCAACTCTATATCATGTATTCACTAGAGTATATGAAACATTTATAATTTTTGAAAGCTGGTTTTTATCATGTTATAGAAGAACAAAATAAAAAGTTCTGTTAAAACATTTACTAAGTGGAAAATAAGCATATTATTGAAAAAAAAAAACAACCTCTGATTACAATGCCTGGAGATGATCAATCTGAAACAACAGAAAAGTAAATAAAAACAACAGCCTAGTATAACAGAGGCTACCAAGACCAGATTTAATAAATGCCATGTTATTTTAAAGGGACATGACTCTGAATTCTAATTATTCGTTTAGACTAGTTTATACACTTTTTAAGATGTTTGTTGTCAAGATTTAATAACTGTTTTGTAAGATGTGTGTCCTTTTTTAAAAACTCTAAATTTTTATTTTTTAATGCGTTTATTTTTTTTTACTGAATGCTTCAATTGGCAGTGTTAACAGTAATTATCGAGAAGGGTTGAAGACAACAGAATAAAAACATTGTCACACATACAGATTTGCCAAGAGAAGAGCCAAGCAAAAGGGAGGTAAACAAGCATCACATTTATAGGGATTCACAATCAGGTGTGCTTATGAAAATGTTTTAGGGGTAATGCTTAACAATCAATTTAGCAAACATATCAATATAAATTTTGTGAATAGATTTTAGCGAGTTATTTTACAATTTTTAAAATGAATTATGAGAGTATTTAACAAGTTTAAATTATTTTTCAAGGATTGATTTTCTTTTTAAAGTAAGATAACATTGGTCCCTCAAAGAATAAGTGAATTTTATTTAAATCTACAACTTTCTAGTTCACGCCGTTGTTTTAAATAGTTTAACTTGCCTGAGGGAGAATATATTAATATTGAAACAATGTGCTCTTTATCTTATTATTATTCCTCAGTGCAGTGATCTACACAAGCAATTTTAGCACAATTTAAAGCACATTTACTTTTACACAAATGTTTTTTTTTAGAATTGTCAGTAAATAAATAATACATTTAGTTAAAAATTAATAAATAGTATTTAAATAATTTTGAGAGAGTGAATTATTGAGAAATATTTTATTAAATTAGTGGTTTATTTCATGCAATGAAGTTACTATACATAGTGGGAATAACCTAGTTTTTTAACTACTTCAAACTGGTTCTTTAAAAACAAGACAATAATTAATAAATTCATTATTTATTATTAATTTTGTATGATTATTTTACATACAGGATTAATTTATTTATTTTTTTGTAAAGAAAGTATTGGATAAGTGAAGATCTATGAAAGTTTGTGGGATAATTTTGTTCTGTGTAAATAAAGGATAACTGTTTACCCATGGTAAAATACTTTTAGTCTTTAGTGTCATACAAATGAGTAATGGTTATCTATAGCTCGGTTATGTTGTGCTTGAGATTGTTCTCGAACGACATTTTCAAGTGAGGAGGTCCGAGCTCTGACCGACCCACCAATGATCATCACATCCCTACCTCCATCAAGGTGAGACATGCCTAAAGTACGACCATGATGTGCCGCACCACCGCCTCTCGTTCTCGGTGATCCGTGCATACCAGATGCACTTGGGGTGCGTGGTCGCTCGATCGAAACAATGAAATCACTGAGCGTGACATCAGATGACCCTCCAGACTCCAGTGGGATAGGATGGGTGCGGAAGTGTTCGAGCATGTCGAAAATTGTTTCAAACCATAAGTGCTGTACTCTGCAGCGAGCTTCATTGTTGATTGTCATACGTAAATGCTGAGAAAACACAAGGTTTAAAAACAAATGACTCACTATAAGAACCAAGCACGGTTTACAAAAAAAAAGGAAAGTGACATAGGGCCCTAAAATAGGGTGCTTATAGTTTTAAGTCCCAGCATGGCTGTTGTGCTAGTATGTCTTTATCATAGACCTTGTCTAGAAATTAACCATTAACCTCATCTTAACAATAATATTGGCAGGAATAAACCTCAAAAACTATTCTGTATCAATCTAATGATATTATTATAAGAACTGAAGAGCTTTTTTTTTTCGAACACCTAATCAAATTAATTTAAAATTATAAAAATGATCACCTTAGCTCTGCCTTGAAAGTTAAATGTGAGCACATACTCCCCAGCCCTCGTCTCACTTTTGCGCACCAAAAACACACCATGCCCAGACGGGCCTTGTTGTAAGACAAGTTGCGCTGCCTCTGCTCTGGACAGAGTGCCGTGGAACCATGGGTATTCTTTCAACCTTCCCTCTACACTCCCTTCTCCATCATGGCCCTCAGTATGGCTATCTACACAGATCAACAGAAGAAAATAGGTACATTAATACTAAAACATTTCTCAGCTCAATTTGAAGTCAACCTAAAAAAAATTCTGGAACATTTATTCAGGCAAATGTTGAGTCAAATAAATAAATACTAAAATATTTCTCAGATGAATATAAAGTCAACCTAATAGAAGATTTCTAGAACATTTCTAGGTCCGATATATAGTCATTGAACAGATAAATGCTAGAAAATATCTCAAGGAAATGTCGAGTCAATAAAAATATAATATAAAAATCAGTCCAAATTTTCCTTGTCTGAATATAGTTTAGTACAAGGGGTAAAATAGAGTGTAACATTAATACACAAAGCATAGACACTTTGACAGACAAAAATAAAATATTTTTTAGTTCATGTTTGATCAAAAATATCTATCAAAAAACTATCTGCTAATATACAAAGGAAGTTTTTCACAAAAGAATAAAGATCGGATTAAAATTACTATTCCATATGCTACAGTAAGCAAAACAGTAAATACCAAAACCACTCTCAGTTCTAGGGGAGCCCCTCAAGTCTGATGCGCTGATCTGTCCGCTGATGTTTGTGTTATCTACATGGATCATGCTCCAGGGCCGAGGGGAAGGGCGAGGGGGTATGGTAGGCGTGGCACTCCCTAAACTTCCTTGTGAGGAGCTGCGATGCTGGGTTGTAAGCTGTGTGGTATCTTTAAAAACAAAAATAAAAAATTTTAACAAAAATAACATTTTTAAACAGAATTAAAAGCATTGCTTTTTCAATATACAGAAACTTTATGACAAGTGTTGTTCAAAAATATATTTTGTTGTATTCATTACATTTTTACTAAACAATTCAACATTCAATTTTTGTTTTCCATGTCATTCAACAATATCTTTATCTTACAAAAATATGTTAGCTATAAATTGATTCAATGTTTAAATAAATTGCCCATTCAAATAAATTTTTAATTTGAGAATTATTTTTAAAAAAGTATTCTCACAACTGGATTTATAAAATTATGGATTACCTTTTCTTTCAATAGAACCTGATGGAGCAGTGGGTAACCTGGGTCTCCTAAAAGTAGAGGAAATATAAAGTTTTTTCTTTACATCTTAGATATGTGTAAAATAATAGAAATATTTTTTAAATTGTAAGATTTACAATATTTACAAGATAGTGAATTTGAAACTATAAATAAATAAAAATGCAATTTTATTAGCACAATGAATATAAATATTTTAAGATCTTACATTGCGGCCATGCCTTCGGCTGTGGCAGCGCAGTGGTTGTGTTGAATGCTGTCCTTGATTTCATTTAGCCAGGATCTTAGATCTTGGGGGTCACTTGCTTCAACTACATACTCAATGGTACCTTCACCCTTAAGGATAGAGGCATGAATATTTAACTTTTATTATAGAAGAGCTTTTTGATGCATCTACTACTATTGCATACAAACTGCACATACTGTCTTAGACCCCCGTAACATCTTTTTACAGTTAGTGTAACAAATGCAGTGATAGATTATATGTGTAGAAATGTAACTTAGCAACATATTAATATTGAAAAAGAAATGTTTGCTACCAAGTGTCTATAAATGATGTCACTCATGGGGGCAGCCTGAAGTTATGAATATTGAGACAACACACTAACGCATTTCAAAATGTTATTTTAGAAAATGAACTTTACAGTTATTTAGCAATTTCAAAAGACTTTTTTTTTGTTGAAATGTAAATGTTAATGTTGATCAAGCTCAGTAAATATATCAAAAAGAAAATGCTGTTTAAAAAAAATTGTGTAATTTGACAGGTGTGGTGATGGGATGTGATGTCATCTTTTTGTGACAATAGGTGAGGGGTAAAAATTGTTAAAAAAAAAACATTAGTTGTGCTTCTGATTTTGATTACACTTTACATTACAAACCCCCCCCCCCCCCCCCAACCCATGTAAATCAATTTAATAATATTCTCAACAGCCCATAATCTTAAGTTGAGCAAGGTGAAAGAAACCTTGACAAAAACACTTCTAGCAAAAAAATAATTGTAAAGACCTTTAGAAAAATCATGTAAAGGAAATCGATGCCAACTTAAACAAAACAGAATGAAATAATTATTAAGACCTTTAGAACAATCAAAGGAAATCAATGCCTCATCACACAGGAGGCACAAAACCAAAATAATTATTGAGACCTTTTGAAAAATCAATTAAAGGAAATCAATGCTGGCTCACCTTGATAACAAATGTATTTTCTCTATCTGGCATCTCGAGGGCAGTTGTTTCTCGCACTTCAGTAATGAGAAAACAAAACAGACCTGTCCGTGGCTTGATGGCCTGGAAAAAAAAAAATTAACAAGGAAACTTAAGTACGTTTATTAAACAATGTGAAGTTCTCTTGAAACTTGACACCCAGGATTAGTGGTGGAAGGATTCATCTATTTTTAAAGCACAGAATCACAATGGCCTCGTAATGTCAACAAAAAGACTTGTAGGTTAACCATGAACAATGGTTAGTTAAGTGCTGTACAGTTACTTACATGCACCAGCCACAAACTACTAAGTATTGCATTCATTTTTATTCAAGTGGCATCTTATTTTTAAATAATTTTATTTAAAAGAGTGCATTACCAGGTTTAGTGAAGATTTTTTGCATCGGTGCCTATGGATTAAAATAATTGCTGCACATAATGTGTATTGGTATTAGGCTAGGTGTGATTGGGTACACTTCTTGCAGTTTTAACTTGGGCATAGATAATCTACTAAAATCAACTTTTTATATGAGCGTGTTTATAAAATAAATAAATTTTCACAGCCATAAAAGAACCTAATAAAAACAACTAACACCATTCAAAATATATTTTGATATGTTTATATTAATGCAATGTTATGAACTATTCAGGTTCGTCACCTAAGCAACCAAGTCCCAAGCTCCAGACTTTTGGCAATGACAGAGGTGTGGGCTTGATCTGGGAAAAACTAATCCCCAGTTTGTTAGTAGGAAAAACAACAGTTTTTCCTGACAATAGCACTTTTTCCCAGCTTTGTACACCATGGTGGGTTGAGGAACCACAACTAATAGATTTAGTGTTGAGGGGGAAGATGAATACTTAAGCCAATTCCCAACCAAATTTGAAAGGTCATAGCTCAGATCTGAAGAACTTCCACTTTTTGTAAAAGACTTAGCCATCAAACAGACCAATGGGCTGTAATTTTTTTTTTCATAATGGTCACTACCAGAGTTTCTTACATGCATCTATTTGGGGAAGGGGGGGGGGGGGAAGTGGGTAGTACATCCTTCCCAAGTCAAAATAGAAAAATATATATAATTTATTTAGAAAAAACATACTTATCGTTCTAAACACACACACACACCCCCCCCCCCCCTGAATTATTCACAACTCATTGCTAGTGATGGTGCGCTAAACATCTAGACTGTTAGACTGTTCTTTCTCTGCTGTTAATTTCAGTTCACAATGTGTTAACATTAAAGTCAAAAATGTATAAAATAGAAAGGAGACAAAAATAAACCCAGTTAATTACCTTTGACCCATGCACTAAAGCCTGACCTAGATTTGATGTATGAGTCAACCTTGGGTCAGTTTAATAAAAAATGACCAACTGATTTTAAAAGTAGAGCAACACTTGTTTGTTACCTCATAATATCAAGGTAAAAATTTTGTTTAATCAATAGTTAACAACAACAAAATGACGGCAAAAACATAATCAAAAACATATATATGTTTAAAACAAGTTAGGTTTAAAAATATATTTTTCCCACAACTAAATATTCACTGTTAAAGTAGATTGGTTGTTTTTTTATGTTATATAACTTTTTAATTGGGTTAGCATAAAAAACTATCAATTTTTAGAGCTTAAGTAACCAATATTTTGAATATAAATTGCACAAAAATAAAATGCACATGAAAAAACAAAAGCTCTACAAAATTAGATTTTTATAATAACCCTCTTGCTCAACTGGGGAAGTACACTTGAACTAGTAGTGTGAGCAACATAGAACAAAAAAAAAAGGAAACTATGAACCATTTCTGGGGGGTTTTTTTTAGCACGTCCATTCCCCCCTCCACACCCTTGGTCAAAACAAAATAATATGTATAAATATATATCAAGTATATGTTTTTTATTTAAATTATAATTTTATACTTTAATTAGTGGTGCCATTCTACCTCCCCTCCCCTAAACCACTTTTGATTACACCTTCAGCAAAACTATTTACCATAGCTCAACCATTGTACTACTGAAGTTATTTTCCCCATTCATTAATTACTTGCAACTTTCCACACATATTTTTTTTCTTACTGTTCAACTAGCTTCCCCCCTGGACAACAAAGGAAGTCAAATACTAACAATGGATTATTTTTAGCCTTAATCCAGTCCACTTGTTAACAAACATGGGCCCAGTGAGGCCTGATCTAATCTTCACATACCAGGTGAGATGACAGGTGTTTGGCTTTAACCTATAACCCCATTCAGGCCATGACAAAGAGATCTCATTGGATTGGTGATGAAAGACTGAAGAAATTTGTATTTGTTATAGGTTGAAAGGGGGTGTGGGGGACCTCCTTGTTTTGCATTAAATTTTTAAAAAGTATAATTACTTTACACAAATACCTAGAAAACAAAACATGTTTACTGGGTTCACATTTTAAGGAAGACAAATCTTTCTGTATTCTAATTTTACTATAGGTACAATGAGGACCATTGTTTTTAAATACTGCAAGCAGATTTGAAAAAAATCCAAATGTTAACCCAAACTGTCAAATTTATTTAAAGTGTGAAACTATCTGTTTCAAACGGCCCTCAAGATTAGAAAATTGTCCGATCATTTGTGAGTGTGAAATCTTTGTTTTGAAGATCTCTCAAACCAGGTTTTAAATTGTCAGATCTGGGGAAAAAACATCAAAGGGTAGGAAGAGGATTAAAAGGCACGGAGAGTAGAGAGAAACATGTTTTGATAAAGGGCCTGGCGAGTTGAGAAGTAGGTCAATACCTGGCCAGCGATACCGCCAGAGTCAATCTTGTTATGGCTGTTTGGCAAGTGGATTATTCCGTGCTCCATTTCGCCGGACGGGAGTCCGCGGAGGTCAAGAGTTCACCTGGTAACCATTGTCACGTACCGTGTATGGGGGTGAGGGGGGGGGGGGAGAGATGGGTGGAGGGTAACTATGTTGTGAATAAACCAGCTGTCGACAAAACTGATTTTAAAAAAAAACAGATGTATGACTGGTTGTTTTTTTTTTGTCCATAAAAATGTAAGGGTGAAATTATACCAATCCGAGGTAATGATAATTATAAGCTAATTACACCCCTGCCCGCTACGTGCTTATTCAGGTGATAAAAAAACGCCGTAGGGTTGTTTTTCCCGTGGAAGGGGTCACCGTCCGGTGACATACAACATGACCCAAGTGGCAGACAAGGGGGGTGAGAGGGGGGATACCTGGTGTTTTGCTGGCTAGGTTTTGTTTACGGCCTCGGGTCTGTGACCTTTTGACCCCATTCTAGTAGGACCGCACATAGAAAGCCTGAACCACAAATCGAATCCTACGCTTGTAGCTATGATCTATGTTCCCTCTATGCTCCGCGCAAAAACCGCGCAGTAATTTTCAACCGCAACAGTCATTTTGTAAAATACAAATATCCTTGTAAAAGACTTTTAGAACACCGCGCTCACAAAATACACGTTGCACATTAGCTTTTTCACCTTTGGAGAGCGCGTTGGTTATGATATAGATCTAGGTTTCAGCTGGAAAAGTCATACAGAAGTATTGCTAAACCTCTTTATCAGTGTCGTTTGAACCACTTGCAGTCAAAACATCTTTACTTTTGTTGGGGCATTAAATTTGTTGGTTTGAAGTTGTAGGGCATTACATTTGTTGGAACAAGGGTATGGGGTTTCACATTTCTCTGCTTGCAGATACAGTGGCATTGAAATTATCGCCGTCAAAACATAAGGCACTAAATATGTTGGTATTCGTAGCTGGGACTTGTCGTAACGGCCTGTGTTGTCGCAATTGTCACTCAAATCTGAAGTTACAGCCCTGAAATCAGACTAGTACTTTCTTATACAACCATCAGTAGATTTTTTTAAGATAATAAAAACTAATTACATATTGAGGTTGGGCTGCTTTTTAAATTTGAAAAACTAATCGGTTTGATTGAAGTTGAAGTGGGTGAAATTTCGCGCTCAAGACTCAACCCACAAGGCCTCCTACATATTCGAGAACCCTAACATGTGCTAGGTACCATCAGAACTAGGCGGACACATGGACCTCCTACATATTCGAGCACCCTAACATGTGCTAGGTACCATCAGAACTAGGCGGACACATGGACCTCCTACATATTCGAGAACCCTAACATGTGCTAGGTACCATCAGAACTAGGCGGACACATGGACCTCCTACATATTCGAGAACCCTAACATGTGCTAGGTACCATCAGAACTAGGCGGACACATGGACCTCCTACATATTCGAGAACCCTAACATGTGCTAGGTACCATCAGAACTAGGCGGACACATGGACCTCCTACATATTCGAGAACCCTAACATGTGCTAGGTACCATCAGAACTAGGCGGACACATGGACCTCCTACATATTCGAGAACCCTAACATGTGCTAGGTACCATCAGAACTAGGCGGACACATGGACCTCCTACATATTCGAGAACCCTAACATGTGCTAGGTACCATCAGAACTAGGCGGACACATGGACCTCCTACATATTCGAGAACCCTAACATGTGCTAGGTACCATATGGGCGGACACAGGGCCCTCCTACATATTCGAGCACCCTAACATGTGCTAGGTACCATCAGAACTAGGCGGACACATGGACCTCCTACATATTCGAGAACCCTAACATGTGCTAGGTACCATCAGAACTAGGCGGACACATGGACCTCCTACATATTCGAGCCCGAGATCCGAACTTGAGACTTTGATGGTATTAGTCGAGCGCTCTATCGAGGTTTCTTTCAGACATTTTTCTCCTAGAAGATTGGGGGTACTTTAAACTTCCGAGTAGGAGCAGACACTGGTTAAAGTCTATACTGTCTTAATTTTTTTTTATATTTCTATGCTCTCCATTGGAGAGATGCCTGAACCGCTGCGCTCTACCACCCGACCACGCTGTCACATAACCACGAGAAATAAGATCAATAAAACTTGTTCATAGATTCTATATACGAAATCAAACAGTTTCATCAGCTGTAAGATTTTAATGAACTTTATTATCAATGTAGCCCGTAAAGGAAACTATGCCCGCTATGTACACTATTTTTAGAACGAAGCCCGGAAAATGTGTGGTTCTAC